TTGTATAATTGATGCACCTGTAACAACAAATGGACGTTTGTATACTTTGAACGTCGATGCATCTAAGCTAATCTTAGCATTATCTTGACAATTTCTTTTTTTTGTAATTTATTTTGTAAATAATGAAGTAAAACAGAACAAGCATAAAGCAATAAAATTTTTGAATACAATATTTTCAAAGTTATCTTAAATTTAAGACACATTTATGTGTTTAAAAAAAAAAAAATTTTTTTTGAGAAAATAATCGGGGCATGGTCCCTAGTGCCCCAGCCTCATGGACCTTCTGATCATCTGACCTGAAACAATCTTAATGCATGTTCATCAGGACTACACAAATGCTGAAAGTTTCAAAGCTCCAACTAGTCTGGAAGATACTGAAAAATCCATCTCAAGATTCTGGTCAAAAAAGTGGGGCACATCCCTCCAGCCCCCTCCCCTAGTGTCTTGGGCCCTTTTTTAATTTTAAAATGCACATTTATTGACACTACATAAATACCAAAATTTTCATCGTTCCAGCTTTCAATAGTGGGACCTGTGTCCCGTTAACCATATATGGAAATCCATATACTTGCAGATCAAAATTTTTATGTTTTCTGAAAAATCATTAAACATAAAATAATGTGTACAATTTTTTTTTTTTTTATATCATCAAGGCCACATGGCTTTCTTGAGCATCGAAATCAGGTATATAAAAAATTGCCTAAATTTATTTAAATTGATAATTACAAGTACTTAAAAATATTTTTTTACATTTCTGATTATTTCATTGGATTCTTCGACCCTGAAAATAGCCAGGTACAAATTTTCAAGTCAAAAGATCAAATATTTTTAAAGCTATGTGATTTGGAACCTTTAAACAAAGGTCACACTTCTGAGGGGACAAGATGAGCCTGACCAAGATCAGTTAAAAGTAAAATGATCATATTTCATGATCCTCTTGGAGCTAGAAGCTAAAATTTTCAGGGATTTTTTGTTTTATTAAGTACTCTCAACTGAATAAAAATCAGCAAAATCTGAGATGTATGGTGACATTTTTGAAATTTTCTGGCTCAATTGACATGGAATTACCCAACATCCTGTATCTAACAAAGTTGATGATTAAAAAATGTGTTTATTCCAATGTTGTTCAAGAGTGAGGTAATGCAGATTCCTTGTTCCTCAGTTGTTTCCTGTATTTTTAAGCAATTTGAAATCATGTGTCCTCTTTTTAAAACACTGAAAGATCTTTCCCAAGTTATTTGCAAGTAAAAATTTCATCACAATGTGATTTAACTTCCTACACTCATACAAAGGTTATTTTTTTTTAGTTTTTTCTACAGTTTTTTCTTAGTTTTAGGTTTTTCCTACAACAAACTAAAATTACTTTTGTAATATGGTATTGAAACAAGATTTAAAGCAAAATCTTGATGATAAAAAATGTTAATCCTACACCAAAACAAAAACACATAGATAAATAGTTACAAATATATATTCATACATTTTATATATGATACAAATATATATATCATGCAAACATATATATATATATATATATATATATATATATATATATATATATATATATATATATATATATATATATATATATATATATATATATATATATATATATATGTTTGCATGATATATAAAATATATATTTGTATCATATATAAAATGTATGAATATATATTTGTGTATTTTGATAACTTAGTGTAGCTTCATTGTAGAAAACTCTTGTATACAGTGGCTTTCAAAAAATATAAAAAGTCACCTAGATTTTTTTTTTTATTGCTGTTTAATTATCTCTTAATTAATTTTGAAATAAATTAATTTAAAAATAAACGAGTAACATATAAAATACTTTTACCAGATTATAATAGTGGTTAAAATAATCTTTCCATACATACCAAATATGTCATACTTTTTGATGAAAAAATTTACGTATATTGTAATTGAAAAAACTTATATTTTTGTTCGGAAAAACGTGTACCAGGCCTTAGTTGCATTGAGTAATAAACCAGATTTATCATCTTTTATCAAGTTAATTTTCTTAATACCAGAATTACCTATCTTCAACTTTTCTAATGTCAGTAAACAACTCAAATGCGTCAAATTGACACCAGCCAGTAATGTCATATCTGGCAAGCTACTTTATGCTGCATGCCTTGAACTAGTTGAAGCTTTAGTTATTATTTTTAATCATTGTATTAATAAATGTATTGCACCATATGAATGGCTTTATGCAAAATCATTTCTAATACAAAAGTTGATGATTCGTTTCTGCCAACTGACTATTGACCAATCGCTATAACAACTGCAACATGCAAATTAGTTGAACATATCCTTGCAAAATATATTATATCATACATTCAAGATAAACTATTACTAGAAAGCCTATTAGGTTTTCTTTCTGGGAAAGGTACAAAATTTCAAACTGTAAACAACAAGTTATATTTAACAAGTCAACTGAATAGAAAGATGTACTATCTGGGGGAATACAAGGAAATGTCCCTGGCCTGATTCTTTTTTTTATCTATGTACTAGACATCTCCCAACAAGTATTACCTAAAAGAAATATGTAGATGATATCTTAGTTTACATAATTCTTAAAAACTCTTCCCTTCCACAAGAAGTAGCAGAAAGTCTTCAACAATAGTGCAATTATAATAAAATGTTTTTACAACACAACCACATGCAAAGTTATTTATATTGGCTGAGGCACAAAGCCTGTCATAAAATTAAAGAACAAAACATATGCAGGCATCAGTACACTTAAATGAATATTGTGCATTCCAAAGCATTTAATCACACTTAGTCTACACTAGAACAATTACTTACATTTCACTTTCAATACTAGAATATCAAAATTGACAATACATTTAAACATGTACCTACAAATATTTTTCTGCCACCTTTATAATGACGCTAATAAATACTGTACTAATTCTACTCTATACATAGCCTAAAAATACTTGGTACATTCTCAATACACCCCATTAAAATATTGTACTATTAGTAGGGGAAGGGGGGTCCAAAATTATATATTTCTTGTTTAACCAGTTATTCTTAATTAATTTTTTGAGAAAAGTTAAAAAAAACAATTCTTCTACCTCTAATTTAAAAATTTAAAGATATAAAAAATAAAAGTCTTTGCAAAAGTTTATTTGCATATAAAGTTATGCAACTTTTCTTTGAAATTTATGCTATTCAAATTTTGATTGGATAAATTTGATTTTTATTCGTTGCGTTTTAGAATAAAAACGTTTTATCTGAAGTCTTTTTCTAAAAAAAAACGTTTTAAATAAGTTTTAAAACAACAGATTGTTTAAAAAAAAAGGTTTTATCTAAAGTCTTTTTCTAAACAAAACATTTTAAGTAATTCAAAGGACAGGTTGCTTCGAAATATCTTAATTTCCTTTTTTTATTTATTTTTAATCGTTAATCAAGCTATCAAGAAGGCTAATCAAGATTTCATTAACTTTTTTTCACTTTTCTTTAATGAAGTCAAGAATAAATCTTCTTTTAAAGTGCCAGTCATTAGAAATTCAGTTAAATTCTGAAGGTTTAACAACTCTAAAGATAAATAGGCTAAAGGAATACCGCTACCTAAAAGGCTTTATAAAAAACAAATTGGGTGATCAAATTTTGAAATTTTCTGCTTTACTCTAAAACGCAGTGAATGGCTAGTTGAAAAAAATTCTAGAAGCAATTAATAAGTATACCTCAAAGAAGAGGTTGAATGATTGTAACATTCTTGCTAGAGTATTTTGGCAAAAGTTAGCCTCAGGACTTCAAAAAAGAGAAAAGTATTATGTGTTTGGTTGATGATGGAATATGATGAGCATTAACTTTCTAATTAAGTTGTTGCAGTTGGAAAGCTTTGGAAAAAACCCATTTAATTTCAACAGTAGATTTATACTTAATCATTTACACCATATAAAAAAATGAAGGTTTGCTTAGTTTAAAAATATTTTGGAAAATTATTGTCCAATTATTTTTCCAAAAAGTTGAAACTATGGAATATAGTTGAAACCAGCTACAAAAACAAATGGATAACAATGGAAGAGCAGCAAACTTTACATCAGGTGTGCAAGATGAGTTCTATTTTAGTTTGATTAAAGTTACAAGGCAGACCATTTAGCAGTGAACTAGACATTATTGAAGTATATAAAGATATGTTGTGAAAATGAAAAAATGAAAAAAAATGAGGTTATTTATTTTAGGGATACAATGCAGGTCATTGTCGCGGAGGTCTATTCTGTTTTAATACATGATTATTGATATAAAAAACATACCTCCATCTTATGACTGTTCTACATGGAAAGTTCCCGCAGCAATCTCCATCACATATGATGACTTTTATAGTTATTTTCCATTTTC